ATAATTTAATCAACAGAGCAATTGAAGTGTCTTCAAACGCCTTAAAACAAAGTGTCTCACTGCAAACTGGAGTTACTCGGGGTTTATACAGCAGAATTTACTACGGTCTAAGACAATAAATCACTGTTTTAAAAAGAACAGCTTGTTCACCATGCATGGGGCCAGTCAATCCAGTTTAATGACTTGCAGTACATGAGCTCTGGAGACTTCTGGCTGCATTATTCAACACTGATATACAGCCCTTGGAGGAGCAGGAACAAGCCCTCATTCCAGCAGCATACAGATGATAACCAGGTGGGCAGGTACAACAACACTGAGAAACAGATAACCAGGAACCCAGTGTCAGCAGGACCAAGGAAAAAAGAGTGTCTGCCTGACCTTGGTTAGGAAGGAAGGTCATGTTAATTTAGAATCACAGAATCACAGAATGGCCTGGGTTGGAAGGGACCTTAAAGATCATCTTGTTCTCCCAACCCCACTGCCGTGGGCCTGGACACCTCCCACCTTCCTCAGAGCCCCATCCAACCTGGCCTTGGACACTTCCAGGGATGGGGCAGCCACAGCTTCTCTGGGCAACCTGTGCCAGGGCCTGCCCACCCTCCCATGGGAAGGATTTCTCCCCAGTTTTGGCATGGAATCCTCTTGTTGTGTTCCTGAGCAGCCCCTGAGAAAGAAGTTCCCTCCAGTCTCTAGGGGAAATTTTTTCTGGCACATATCCCATCCAGACTACTGCAGTCTTTAAAGGTTAAGGCACAGGCTTGAAAAGACAGTCCCAGGATGACATAAATCCTGCATGTGTTGGATAAGATTGCTGGAGACTGACTTTGCCAAGGCAGAGCTCTGTTGTGGGTCTTAAGAAGAGTAGTTTCACGTGCCCTTAAAAGAAGTCTTTCATTAGTAGCAAAGAACTTCGTGTTGCTCCAATTGGCAGATTAAGCACCTCTGTCAGCTTAACCATGCCCAAAAGATGCAGATCATAAGTAACAGGATAACCATCCTCATCACAGTGCTCCTGGAAGAACCGAGACACTGCCCAGCAAGGAATGGTACTGGAGGTCAGGCAGGGATGTGTTCCCTGCACCCACCCCAATACCAGGATTTGTGATGAGACTTTGGAGTAAAACAAATTTTTGTTAGCTCCTCGAGAAGGTCATCACTTCACTGGACTCCTCCCTGTCTCTGCTTTTTCTGGAGGAGTTAAATGATACATGGGTGACCCCATGAGGCCACCACTGCTATCAGACATCCCCAGCACACCTCAGAAGTGAGCTGTTCCACCTCCCAGGAACCAGCCACTCTCTGGCACAGAGGAAGCTGCAGCTTTCAGGTGCAGGGAGCTCCCTGCTTCAGTCTGTGTGCTCGTGATGCTGCTCCCTGAGCTGCCACTCTAACCCGAGAGAAAGGCTGTAAATGTTCCCAAATATCTGTTTGTTTCATTCACCCCTCATGCCTTTCCTTCTCCTGGCAATTGATTTCCAAGGAAGCCGAGATTAAGGAGCTGCCTCTCACATGCTGGCAACGGTTTGGGTATCCTCTAGTGGCACTAAATAGAATTTCAGTCACTAAAACCTGGATCCCTGTAATAGCTCACACCCTTCCCATGTCAGCAAACCCTTCCCTGAACCTGCTTTGCTGTGGTCCCCAGCACCCCCAGCCACGGGCCACAAGTACCAAATTCGGGATAACTTCAGCTGTGCTGGCCACAAGGAAAGAAAAGGAGTCTCTCTTGGCATCACATAAGTTAAGACATGAAAGTTCTGCTTATTCTGTGCTCTCTTGCTGAATTATGAGCCTGGGCCACCCACACCTGTGTTTTGTGGCTTTTAACAAGAAAAACAGCTGTGGGACCAAAAGAATATGCTCTACTGTTGGCAAAGTCAGCTCTATAATAACCCACTTTCCAGAGGCTGAGTGGAAAAGGTTAACCTTTCTTTAGCTTTTTTTTTTTTGCATCACGCTGCAACCTTTAAATTGGAACAGCACCCCTGCCAGCAAATTCAGTGGAGATTTGATACAGTTTTTTATGAGACTGGGGGAGTACACCTGCCATCAGTTTTAAAGCCAGAGAGGATTGCTGTGGGTGTGTAATGTAATGAGAAAAGGGAAGGGAGCAGTGGAATCCCAACCTCCTGGCAGAGCAGCCCTGTGATGCAACGAGCTCTTCTCCCACTGTCACCTTTGCACCTTTCCTGTCCTATGGATGGACAAGTTAAAAATCACTCTTTGCTGAGCTAAAAACTGCCAGGATGGCCAGACCCAGAGAGTCCACTGAAAAGGAGTCAGTACAGAAGTGAACACAGTCAAAGCCTAAAGCCACCAACACTGCCATGTCCACCAACCTGTCCCTCTCGGGGAGTTCTAACACAGCTGTGCCCCATGAAGACAGCTGCAGAGGCAGCTCCATAGACACTGCCTAATTCATGAGCAGGAAAGAAAAAAAAAGGCAAAAAAAAAAGGGGGAAAAAGGGGAAACAGCTACTTAAACTGTGCTAGAAAAGGGAGAGAGAAAAATCTAGAGACTGTCCTACAGGCAGAGTCTGTAGGGGCGAGTATTTACATACCTGAACCAGCACTGCAGGGGAAAAGGAGGAAAAAAAAAAAAAAGAGAAAAATAAGTCAGTCATTGGAACTTTCTCCAGCTCATTCCCGAATGGATCCCGCGCCCTCTGCTGGAGCGCTCTGCTCATCCCAGCCAAGCCAGGGTGGAGAGACGGGAACGCAAAGGGATGGGAAGGATCAGAGCTGGGAGGGAGCAGGGACCGTTTAGGAGGGAGAAAACTCAAGGGATAAAATGTCATTTAAGGGTTATACATAAGAGAAAAACGAAGCATTACACAGCAGGTGAAGAAGGTGATCTTGCTCCCAACAGGGAGACCAGAGGGGGAAGAGATGGACTGAGACAAATTTTTAACTGACTTCTTTCCATTCTATCAGCTGGCCAGAGACTCTGCCCACTGTTTCCCCTTCTTAACCACGCCAGGACTTTCTCTTTTATCCCATGATTCTACAGTTCCCTCTAAAGCTTTCTGACCTAATCAAAGAGACTCACCATTATCATTGTGCTCATTTATCCCTTCAAAGAAATCAGTTTCCTAAAGCAAAACCTTTCTTAACAGAAACCTTGTTGACTTAGAAACTAGAAGAAGGTTCTTCCCCCAGAGGGTGGTTGGCACTGAACAGGCTCCCCAGGGCAGTGGGGACAGCACCAAGGCTGCCAGAGCTCCAGGAGTGCTTGGACAATGCTCTCAGGCCCATGGTGTGACTCTTGGGGATGGTCCTGTGCAGGGCCAGGAGCTGGACTTGATGATCCCTGTGGGTCCCTTCCAACTTGGCATATTCTGTGTTACTCTGTGAAATTTTTGTATTTATCCATTTATATTCAATTCCTTGTTTTACTATTAATTGGCCTAATACAAATGTCGAATTTACCAGACTGCAGTGCCTTAGATACACTTGTGGAAACTGTTTTAAAGAAAGGCATGGTGCTCACTACTCCCCAGACTTCAGGCACCAGTGGAAGATTAAGTTAATTATACAGTGCCATAAGTAATTCCACTATTTCCCCTGGAAGTCATGAGTAAACACCACTCAGTTCTGGTGATTTGTCAGCATTCATTCCATATGCCTGCAACCCAATTTCTGCCACACTTATTCAATAGGAGAGATGCTAGTCTGTCTTTGATTTCATTTCTTCTAATTCAATGACTCTCCAAATTGTATTCTCTGCTGGGACCACTAATCCACTTCTAGGAAAATCATTACAACAGACCAATTACAAGAGCAAATACAAATGCTGCACTCGAAATTAATACACTTATACTCCTCCCTGCTGCTCCCTCTTCCTGCCATTTCTTTCACACCTGTACAGTCCATGAATCCTCCCTAATTCACAAAGCCTCTTATGGACCTTCATGGCAAACAGGGCTCAGCTGGTCAGTCAGCCTTGCACAGCTTCCATCAATCCATCCTTAAAAACAGACTGCCAAACTTACCCTAAACCTGACTGGATTAAAAAAAAACCTCTTTTTTTCTTCCCCCCACCCGAACAGATGATTTATCTGATATTATTGCCTGTAACATACCTTGCCATAACACATCCACCTGTAAAACGTCTTGGCAGTCGTGAGTAATCCCGTTCCTACAGGTTGCTGCAGGTTTTGAGCACTGCTGATGGACAGCTTCAGTGATGGCATCTGTAATGAGAGTGCTTTGGGACAGCAGCTTTCCTCCAAAAGAGGAGTCAAGGATCACCTGGGCTGAAGGAAGAAGGGATGAATTCAGTGGGCAAGTGGGGTCAGGCTGACTCTGTGGTTTAAAATACAGCAGGTGAGACAACCAAGGCTTTGTAAGATTAAAAACAGATGGGTGTGAACTCAAAAGTGACAGCGAGAGGGCCCGGGGCTCAAGGATTAGGGACAGTCATGGCTTTGGATAAGTGACAGGGAGCAGACAAGCACATGTAACAGTGCTGTCACAGTGCCAAGGTAAAAGAAAACAGGTTCTGTGCATGAACCACTGCCCTTCATTCCTTCAGCACGGCACACCCTGGGGCATCCAGCGGGGGGAAACAGGGTCTGGCTTTGTCCTTGACTCGTCTCATTGGCCCCTTCCAGCGTGCCTGCATGGCAGACACACAGAATGTCTCCCCAGAGGAGAAATGCCACACACATGGACTCACCTCTGTGGCTTGCAAGTCAAGAATTCTGCAAGAAAAAGATGTGAGGAGTTAATCTGGAGATTGCCACTGAGCATTCCCAGAGGAAGTGAACCTGTTGGAGCGAGACAGCTCCCTTGGAAGGTGGGAACACTGCAGAGTGCCCAGGCCAGCTCAGTGGCAGGAGGACAGTGCAGGACTGCAGCAGTCACCTCTGAGGAAGAAAAGGTGCACTTCTGCAAGTGGACATGGACCATCCTAATTAATTCCACACCAAATATTTCACATGAGCATAATAAAGTCCAAGAGAGCAGCCAGTCTCTGTGGCAAAGAAAACACAGCACACTTTAAAAAATACTGATTTTATTCATATGTTCTAGCCTATTCAACACTGGATCACACTGGTAGGAACAACCACAGATATCTAATTACATGACTTAACAGGGTCTTGCCTGTGCAAGGTTGGGTTTGAGTCAAGCACATATTATGGCACCATCAAGAAGGACAATGATTGCTGTTCAAAGCTCAGTTGGGTCCCATCTCCCCGGTCAACTTCCAAGCCCAATAACCTCTTCTCCCTCCCTGTGTGGGACTGCCCACCAAGAACTGGGATTCTCAAAGCCTGAACCCAGCAAACAGCCTGAAGCACGGGCTCCATCTAGAAATTCTCTGCACTTCACATTCTCTGTTGGAAAGGCTTCAGGTTTTCATCAAAACAAACAAAAAAACCCTACCATCAACTAAAGACACAGAGCAAGTCCTTGGGAACATGGAGTACACATTGCCTAAGGACTGAAGCCTCACATCCACGCTCAGAACTGCTCAGAAGACCTGCTCCAGGAGCAGCTTCCAATCTGGCAGCTCAGGGTTTGTTTTGAAAGCCTCTGTGAGCCCTGCAGGTTAGTCAGGATGTCACAGCTCGTCAGAGTTCAGACCCTCAGGTATTACAGCCCAGCCTGTTACAGCTGCCAAGGCAGAGTGAGCTGCCTTCTACCTCTTGTCCCTCACACACTGACTGTGAAAACTGCCAGACAGGCTAAAAGTCACTCATGAAAACAGAGGAAGTGTTATTAATACACAGTTCCAGGGAACTGGGTGCCCAGCATCAGCATCCATCAGACTAACTTCTGAAAGTCCCAGTCATCCTGCTCCCTCCACTCCTCTTCTCAGTCTCTCCCCTTCCAGAATCAGTTCTTTCTACCCACCCTCTCCCTCTCCTGTGCAGAGAACTGGCAACACACCCGGTGGATCCACACGTGGTCATGGAAATTCGGCTGCACAACCGACCTTTGCCGCTGCCAGAGGGAGGGAATTCCAGGCCACAGCATCCCTCTCTGCCCTTCACTTTTCACTGCTAATTGGGTTTTCAAGCAGTTTCAGCACAGCACAGCATGGACTTTGGGAGCTTGAAAAGCAACAGAGGTTTTTATCACAATGGTGCAACGGGAGAAAACTTCAGAGCGTTTTCTGGGAACGCCGAGTACAATTATACCATAATTTCAGAACTGTCCGGCTATTGTGTCTTCTAAATCACACAAAAGACTACCACAAACAGCGATATTTCAGTGAAAATCTCTATGACCACTGAAACTAAGCCACTAGCTCCTTTAGAGCAGGCAATGGACTCACACGTTCACAAGAACTGACTGCACACACACCAAGCAAGACGTTTTGTGAGTAAATGAGAAAGTCTGGGCCCCTCCCTTACACAGCAGATATTTTGCATGAACAGGATGATTGCTACCTGCAGGGCTATGTGAAACACCTACCTTTTATCTGAGCTATGAAATCACAGTTTTAAAAAAAGCACAGTAACCCAAGGCCAAAAGAGAGGCAGACAGACAGACAGACAGACAGACTTCGGCGGCTTGTTCAGTTCTCTGGAGAGAGCTCTTTGCTCTTCTAAGTGATGACCTTACCCATCTGCCAGCTCTGGATCTTCCACTTGAAAAAAACAGGTTTAAAGGAAGTTTCAACAGCAGTCTTCTGGAGGTGTCCTGTGTCATTCCCAGCTTCCCACAGGACTCGGTGCTTGTCTGGGGTTTCCGATGAACAGCTCAGAAATTGCTGCAGTTGAATCCTGGTTTACTTGGTTTTCCCAGGAGTGAGACACGTTTGAACGTTGTAGGGGATCCTCCCTGCCTCCTTCCTCCAATCCCTGCTCACATCCAGTTTCGGTTTCTTTGAACTGAGAGTGTTGATCCCTTTAAAGGCAACAGCACCAAGAAAACCGCAAAGGAAAACAGTTCCCTGTCCGTAAAGGTTGGATTCCCTGCACACAGAGAAACGTCACCAACTCTACAGGAGGAAGATGAAACCACCTCTTTTGCAGCATCCAGCCTTGCAGCATCCAGAATCCAGCCTAGCAAGGAAAAATAAAAAAAAGCATCGTGTTAAAAAAAAAAAAAATGCCCAAGACAGAGGTGTTATTTCACACGGATCACAATCAAGACACATCAACCTAAGGGTTCATTTCCTAAGGAGAAGGTCTCAAGGGACTGAATTTGAGATATGCTGTCAAGATCACTGCAGCTGGCTAAAACAGAAAGTGCTACATTTCTTTGATGCCTAGTGGGATTGGATTTTGGGGGTGATTTTTCCTTGCAGCTGCTGGGAATTATACACATCTCTTCTTGCAGGAGATGAAAATACCTTTTTAATACATCAGAAGGTTACAAAGTTTGTTAGGATGTATTGCAGTGCTGTGCTCTCCAAGCATGGAGACACAAGGTCTGACTTCTGCTGCAGCTGGGACTTTGGGCATCCCCACAGCCATTCTCTTGGTGTCTAATTTTAAGTCCTTTTAAGACAGATCTGTATGAACAATTTGGCTCATAAGACCCTTCCATGCCAGGGGCAGGGGACTCTCTCGGAGCAAGAGAGAGAATTTCAAATTGAAAGTGTTTATTTTATTATTTTAAATCAGATCTGAAACAATTTATCAGGCAGCAGATGGAAAACAGGTTGGGTTTGCAAGAACTTTTCTTGCTTTAGAAAGAGAAGTTGTCACACTTCACTTCCATGAAATACAGTGTACCTGCATCTAGGTCCATCTGTGCTGGTTACACATGGAGCCCAAAGGGCTGTTCATAAGTTATGAAAAATATCAGCAGCTCTCCACAACAAAAGAGGGAGGAAGATAAAACATGACTGTTCTTACGCAGTATTTTCTACAGAGACAATTGCATTCCCCACTCAGTGCAGGAGTGTCAAAGCAGCTCATTCCACTATGGAAATATTCACTTTCTGGTCCCTGTGCCGCTGCAGCTCCTGCCACTGCTTGACAAGGACTCAAGTAGCCAGAAAAAGAACAAGAACAGGCTATAAAAAGTGTACCCTGGGCCAGAAGGTTGGCTGTAACACTGCCAAAGCCCAAAGGAGCAGAAAGAAGTGGGAGAAGCATCAGAGGCTGGAGAAGCCTCCTAAGTGAACGAGATTTGTCAAAAGCTCTGTCTGGATTCCAGAAGGAGAAAATGTCAGCAGCACATGGAATATATAAATATGCATCCTTACATAAATATATATTAACACATTCACGCTCACACAGGAGGGACATATTTAAGCAGTGATTACAGATACACAGAGATGAGCAAGATATTGCAAGTAATAAAGCATAATAAATAATTTCTAAAATGCACTTGCTCCTCACAAAGTTTTCTCAGGGGGGAAAAAAAAAAAAAAGGCAGGTCTACCAACAAAATGTATGGCCTGCTTGCTCTGAGTTCACCAAAGCTGTGAGAAATCTCTGCTTTACAGGCTGCATGTAATGCTGATCTTCAAAGCAAAATTCCCTTGGCGAGTTCCCTTTCATGTGAGCTTTTTCCTGTGGATTTGTATGCTGGAAAGCTTTCAATCCAGGGATTACAGGGAGTGAACAAATTGAGATGCTAAGGCTAGTTCACAGTTCTCACAAGATTCAGAGCAGCAGTAACTCTGGATCCCAGTGATTGCCTGGAGTTTGGTAAGTCAGATAACTCAGGGGCAGAGAGAGGTGTCTGCAACAGCTGCACTAACTGAACCCATGACAAATCCCTGGATTTTCCTGCAGAGGGAACAATCCCAGTGGTGTTTGGTCTGATTCTAGTTTTAGTTTTACACTGATGGATGTGATGTGGATCTCCCCAGAGTCAGTAGAGATGTTCCACTGGTAAAGGGGAGAGGACAAGAGTCTAAATATTCAATGTTTGATATCCAGGATCTCCTTTTATCCATCGTGTGTATTAACAACCCAACAGATGCTTAGAAATTGTAAAATCCTGCTCTGCAGGGAGAGGATTCCTGCTCCTTTATGGTTTCTAAATGCATTTAGTAAAGCTCCTTGGCAGCAAACAAGACTCCTTTTGCACTGCAGGTATTGCAGGTAATGTCATCTGTTTGCCCGAAGTAAGGGTTGTGCAAAACTTAAAACCAATAGCAAAAGAAATGGGGTCTCAGCAGATAAAAAGTTGAATGACATAAAAAGGGTTTTGGGTTAGACATGAAAAAAAAATTTCTTGAAGTATTTGTAAGCCCAGATTTTTCTGTACCATCTTTCATCATCTGTTGTATAAACAAAGGAACTGCAGGGATCAAACACTCCAGCATTAAGCAGATGTCTGCAAACAGCTTAGAAAGTATGAAAGAGCTGTTATACTCAGTTACAGTATAACACATAATCATTTAACAATGCAAATACTGGTAAAAAACCCAAACAGTGTAGCCACAGGACAGAAAAACTCACATTTTAAATCTGTCAAAGAAGCAAGGGTTTAGCTTACACACCACAGCAGTGAAGGACTGACATGAAACCAGGGACTAGATCCAAGTTTATAATAGTGCTTGAAGGAAGGCACCATTAAAATAATGATTAAAATAATGATTACCATCACTCACACAGAGAAAGGGATAGGAAAGACTTTGACTGGGCCAAAGGAATGGCAGATGGACCAAAGAAAAATTTTCTATGTCTGTAATTCTATAAATGTAAAAGCAATCAACTACTTAAAAGGAATGGACACGAAGAAAAACAGGAAGCATAAGATAAATGAAATACCAAAGTACTCCTTACCAGTTTATGACTTACTCATCACTAAGTTACTGATTACTTACTTTTAAATACTATTTTAATGTAAAGTACAAATCTAAACCAAGAATTTCCAAAGTGGCCAGTGATGTTGGATGCTCAGCTTGAACCATAAAGGCACTGAATTCCAGAAAGCAGGTCTTGCACAGAAACAAAGCCTACTGCATTGCTGTCCTTTTTTTACAAGGTGGACCTCATAAAAACGCAGAGGGATGCAAGGGATTCATTTTGGGGACCCATTTCTCTATCCCTTATTGCCCTTAATGTTGAGAGTCTGACACTGCTGCCTGAATTCACAGCAAAGGGCTCCCCACTCCTCAGGGAGGCTTTCTGAGGCCAGTGGCATGAAACAGTGGATGATGTTCTGGAAGGGGATGTAAACTCACCTGGGCAATTTTTCAACCCCATTTCAGACATCTTCCACACTTATGATTTGAAAAGACTCATGTTTAAAACAGAACTGACGCCTCCTGCTAACGTGGAAGATCCCTGACCCCTTCTCAGGGATGACAGATCCCATCCCATTCAAATCCTATGTGCAAGTAAGAAGCAGATCTCCAGACAGGAACAACTCCTAGCAAGTTAACTGAGAATCATTTCATGCTTTGAGTGTCTCTGGGGATAGCAAAGATGTAGGGAAAGTTATTTCAGGTGGATATAACTCCACTGAAGCAAATCTTACTTGCTTTCATTGTGACAGACCCGTGTGGCTGTCAGGTTATTACACTGGGCAAAGATAAGGGAGAGATGATTAAACAGACCAGACCCAATGTATTTATAGTGCCCATCTTAAAACAGAAAAGCAGAAAAGACCAACAGAGTTGTGGCTCGAGCAGTTTCTAATGAGAGGATGAACTCCTTCCATGTCCTGCTACAGTAAAGGACACTGATGCAGTGCATCTATAAAATCAGCTGGTATTACTAAGTGGAAAGATGCAGAACTGCCTCGTGAAACTGGCAGTTTTAGCTTGACTGAGTGAATCAAAATACTCAGGGAAATCCCCAGTACTCCATCATCCCTCCCCAGATTAAATCTCCAGTGTAACCCCAACACAGCACTGGCCACGTGCAGCTCACACTCCTCTCCCTGGGAGCCATCTGGAACTCCCTGAACTCCCTCTCGACTTTCAAGCACATGTTGTGTTTAATTCTGACACAGCCAAAAAGGACATTGCTGGATTTAATGACTATATTGATTTTCTCCAAAAAATGGGCGATGTGCCCAAGTCCCACCTCCCTTCCATTGTACATGTCTAAATCCAATCCAAGGCTAAAAGCTTGTCCTCAGCTGCCACCGGAGCAGCTCTCATCCCCAAACTTCTGGAGACAATAGAATACTGGCAGAATGACAAAACAAGGCAGATCCACCAGGCTGCTGATGGGAAAACTCTCACCCAGGAAAGAAGGAAGCAGTGAAGAGCAGGAGGTCTCATTCTATTCTCCAAGGAGTACTCTGGAGCCAGACTTCCTCCTCTGCATCATTAATCCTGTGTCCCACAGAGCTTCAGCAGCAAGGACAGCATCCTGCTGTGCCCCCACACCAGCCTCCTCTGATGCCTGGTGGCCAGGGGACTCCCCAGCAGTGTGGGTCCTGCTCACTGCACAAAAAGAAACTGCTCTCTCTCTCTCATGTCTTGAAAGAGCCAGTCCACGCTCAGCTTAAAAAACAAAACAAAACAAAACCAAACAAAAAAGGCATCTCTGTTACCAGGGAAGGTTCCTGCCCCCAAGTCCTGCTTCTGCACAGCCAGGTTGTAGAGCTGCATGAACACTGTGGAGGGTCCATGGCACACCCAGCACTGATAACTTAGGTGGATCTGCAGTAGCAAACGAAAGGGATTAAATACCTTAAATGCTGAGGCAGAAGATGCTCTGCATGTGAGTGGAGCCTTCGTGGCCGGGCTGGTTTTGGCTGGGGCAGAGTTAACTTTCTCCACCCTGACTACTGTGGGGGCCATGTTCTGGGTTTGGGCTCAGCACAGGGCTGATAACACAGAGATGCTTCCTGCTGTGCTGGCACAGAGTTTGTGCTGGATGTTTGGAGTGATGGTGTTTGTCTTCCCCAGCCCCTGTTATGTGTGATGGAGATGGCTGAGCACCTGCCTGCCCAAGGGAAGCAGTGAATTGATTCCTTGTTCTGCTCTCCTTGTGTGCATGGCTTTTCCTTTCCCTATTCAACTCTCTTTATCTCAACCCAGGAGCTTTCTGGCTTTAAATCTCCCGGTTCTCTCCCTGATCCCGCTGGTGGGGCAGTGAGGGAGCAGCTGGACTGCTGGATGGGGTGACACCACGACAATGGC